AAGTTATTGCAAAAGAAGTATTTTTAAATTAAACCAGAACATATTCTCATTAGTAATACGGGAATACTGAAATTTAAAGTGAACGCGTGCTGAAAAAGAATCTCGTTACTTGCGTTCATTATCCGAAAGTGAGTATCCTCTTTATTATCCGTATAAAAACCTTTCATGTTGGAATATCGATAAGTAATAACAATTTAACAGATGCCTGAAAGCACTTCTTGTCAACAGAAGTGTAACGTAAGGTCCCTTAGGGAGGATTCGGGTTATTAACGAAAGGTAATTGCAAAAAGTGTCCTAACGTTGGTTGCCAATAATCCTCTTGAGCGAGCTTAACGATCAACACACAATTAATAACAATATTGTAGGAAAAAATATGTTTGGTATTACATATGAAGGAAAGTCATGACAAACTCAACTGCAATCGGTATCAGGATCGAACCCTGTATTGCAGTTGTCAACCTTAGAAATGCGGCAGGATGCTCTCCTTTACGATGGAAGGCAAAACTAATATTATATCATAAGGAAACCGAAGACCAACTTCGTAAAACTTTTAAATGTTACAAGTATATCTGACGGAAATGATTTATAAGCTTACTATAATTTCCCAAATTTTGACTGCAAATATTGCGGAAATTATTGAGGGCGATAAAACATTTAAACAAGACAAAGGAAAACTATAAAATGAACTCAAATCTGGAAAAATTTGAGAAACGATTTAAAAATGGGCTTTGGAATTAAAGAGGGGATATTAAAAGCAAAATATACAAAGAAAGCTTATTTAATGTTTTTGAAAAGTTATCTTTATGCCTGTGAAAGAGGTAACACGGAAAAGATTCAGAATCTATAGAAATACTCAGTCAACATCAAACAGTGTTTTTTGATTTCGCAAATGATTTAATAATTTAGAATACTCTAAATTAATTTTATTTAATATTGTTTTGCAGTGCAGACCCACCTGTAATAATGATGGGTCACCCTCCATGTGAATTTAATTCATTTGTAACGTAAAATGTTGGTTGTAATTTGAGTTTAAACACAATTTCGATCGTATTGAATTCGAGGTGAATGTTTTGTATTAGAATTATAGGCTGCTTCAGTTCAAATAATCGTCTTTATTGTTCAGTTAGTAAGTTAAGGAGCATCTGTAATTAATTGGATAAATGTTTTGTTAAAGTTATCTCTCGTAAATTCGGCCGTTGCGATAAGAAGTTTCGTTATCGCTGCGTAAGCTAATTAAGTGAAGATAAACAGACGTTTTTTCGCCGACGTAAACACAGATGGTGGGACAAGGAGAAGGGAAATTTTTCTAAATAGAGGAGACGGACGTTAATCGTGACTTTTTCTGGTTGCAATCCAGTAACGCGCGCAACTGTTATTGTGACCTCGACAATGTATTGGTGTGGAAAAGCGCACATGACGTTTGTGACGACCAGGGGGTCGATTTTTGAAACCAGTCGCATCTATTCGTATACGCTTAGATGCGAAGACTTAAAAACGTATACGTTTTCCAAATGCAATTTTTGACTACTGTTCGTAACTGCCTGGAACCGAAACGTACAGTGCATATGACAACGTCGCCTTTATTGATTGATTAGAACTAAAACGGACTATTTGACGTTCATTGACGTTTGGGTTTGAGCTTAGGTGGTGAGGTGAAGATATTGCTCAGTCATTTCAAATTAAAGAATAAGAATATTTTAGGCACTGATTAGCATGAATACTGAAAACACGATGGACACGCCAAAGCGAGGGTGCAATACCACGCAAAACCAAAAAGGGTGGCTAGTAGAGTTTGCTAAAAACCACCCCGATATAATAGCAGGGAAACAAACTACGACTTTGACGTGCAAGAAAATGCAAGACTCATGGAAAGAAGTAGCTGATACATTTTGATAAATTGTGCTTCATTTAAGACTACTATGGGGTTGCAAGGATTACGGTTCCTATTCGGGCGATAATTGCGTTCGGCATTCTCTAAATTGTCTATTACAAACACATTCACAGCTTCATCCATTATTGTAAGTAGATACCTCTCAAGAGTCAAAACTTCAACACTAACCAATACATAACCCACAAAACGTCAGTTGCGAGCGTTTGCGAACGCCATTTACCCGCTCGCAGAAAAACGAACACAATTGAACGTATACGCAATATAAACGTATGGTCAAAAATTGCAAATATACGTTTCTTTACGAATACGTATACGTTTTAAGGAAACGTACGGCCAAAAATCGACCCCAGTCTGAAATCAGTGTTACATAACCGTTGTGAGTACACTCGTGTGCGGACAGAAGTTTTGCTGGAAACTGGTTGCAAATGTAACTGGCTTGCAACTGCCGTCACAAAATAGGTGCTCCGTGTGCCCTCGGCAAGACGGTGATGTAGAAACCAGAAGCAAAATTGACAATTGCGAACTTCAGTAATTTTAAATTAAAAGTGGAAAATCATTTAAGATATTATTTAAACTTCTTAAGGGAAATAATTTAAGAAACAAATTAAAAGATTCCTCAGATTAAGAAGCGGGTTTAGCAGAAGATAGATTTTTTGGCGTAAAAACCTTTTCAAAAGGACCTTTAAGTTCTTTGTGACAGTCTTCACGATATTGTTGAAAATACTTTTACAGATATCTATATTGTTGTGTAAAGAACGTTATGTAGGTGTTATTTCGGTCTAAATGCCAAAAATAATGATGGGACACTCTGTATTTATGACAAAATTTCAATTTATTAAGTGTACTTTTGGGGAATTATTTACGCATAAGCACAAAGTTGGTTTATTTCATTTGAATTTGTGGCTGAGTGTTATTTTTCTTTTTAGAATTGTTTGTAATTGCGAATTATTTACTTGATTAAAATGTATCGTATTTTTAATTCATTTAATTTGATAAGGTGTTAAGACACATTTGGTTAAGTTTGCTTACCTTATAAAAGGTTTCATCTTGTTAATTCGCGATATGGAGTCTTATCGGGCGAAATTAAATAACGCGTGTGTTCTTATCCCTGATAGAAGAGATAAGGTGTTTCGAAGAAGAAAAAAGTAGGGAGTAATTTTTTACCTCAATGTAATCATTCCTTACTATCGTGCGGTGGTAAAACACAAATCATCATCCCATTTTTTAGAAAATAACAAAAATGTAACTTTTTTATATGGAACACCCTGTGTATTAGAGTTTTTTTCCACAAGATTAAATATTCAAAAAGGGAGGTTCGCACACAGATCACTAATTTAACTATAGCTTAGACCACGGACACATCTATTTAACTGCATCCTGCATCACGCACCGAGTCGGTTCGGCAGCTTCTACTCTCCGACTTAAAAACGTACACCATAATTATTCACATTTAGGATGCGTACATGAATTAAATTATTATCATGAAATTAATAAACATGGCTAGAAGGCACCTAAATAACCGTTTTCAATGAAAAAATTTGCGGAAAAAATCCTAAATTTTCCACAATCTTATATTAATTAAAAAGTTCACTTCATTTCCTGGTGTCATTTGACTGACATTTCGTCATTTTTAAGTTGGTGAAACTGAAAAATTTTAAGTGACAGTTTTCTTTATTCATTTATAAACAAAGGTGCAACACAACACAAGTTTAGGTTTAGTTCGACTTATATACCAAATATGCGACACTTCCATGTCACATGTGGATACACTTTAATAACACCACTTTTCGAAGCGTCAGTCTCATTGAGTTAGAAAACTAATGGAGGGAATATAATGATAGAGGGGGTAAGAATTTTTGTAGACGGAAGTTGCCACAGACAGAGGCCACTCGCGTGGATAGGTTCCCGTGAAGGTACATTTTGGCCGACATTATTTGACATATGAAAACGCGGGTCCTGTCACTGTCAGTTTTCCACCAAATTCAAATTTTATTAAATTTGCCATTTTAAAGTACCTAATAATTTCGGATCGGTTTGTGCTCTGGTTTATATAAATAACTAACTGCCGCATAGTGTTTTTATCACACGCAATTTTGTGAATTGAGAATGATTAGCTGCGTATCATGCAAAATTTCTCATTAAAGGGAAGAAACAGGGCATTTCCTTTCATCGGTAAGACATGTCATTTATTATGTTGTAGGCGAGGTTGTAGGTACCTAGTTTATGTTTCTTAGTTTTCCAAACGAACCAGTACTTCGAGCAAAATGGTTACCTAACATTTGTAAATATATCTCAAGAACAGCTCTCGAAATTTGCTTTTGTGCTCACAGCGCTTCATTGAATGTGATTTCGACCAAAGGTTGCACCGGAAAATGTTCATCAAATATGCAGTAGGTACTATCAAAACTTGTAGGTATTTACAGCTACACGTGTGAGTTTATAATATGGATATCGGCATTGAATTTATAAATTCAATGATATCGGTGTAAGTTTTTTTACGAGTGTGGATACATTTTGAGACCAATAAACAATAAATTATTATTGAATCTCTCTGCCGTTGTAATGAACCTGAGACCAACCAGTCAATTGTAGCTATTGATCAACACAGTGAATTTAATGGGAGTTGTCAAGTTGTAGTGGCTATAGTAAACTGGCCTTAATTATACTACTGGAACACATCGATGTATATTTAGATTTGTAATCAATGATTATATTAAATCTGCATACTTTCCCATCCTTGTCTATTTTGTTTACTTTACCACGAGCATGTATTTTACTCCTTCTATACGTTTTTTTTGTTATTATTCCTATTAGTGGAAAGAAAATTATATCTCTACGCCACTGAAGTGAGACGCTAATGATAACGGAAGTGGTGTGGTACTTTAATCACAGCCAGAGGCCACTTTTGGTTCCCGTGGTCTACGTCTGGCCAAGCATTTGATTCCCTCCATTAGTATTCTAACTCCATGGCCGATAGTGAGTAATATAGAAACCGTCAATGGGATAACGGTAAAGGAATAAACAGAGGCGTATTTAACAATAGTACCACCATCCGTTATTTAGGCACAGCCAGTTTGCCTTTCTCAGGGTCGATAAAGTTGACCTTCACGAAAAAACCGAACTGCGTTGCTAACTTCAGTCGGTTTGTATTTGTGTAATTCGTTCGATTATCTGTAAATTACTCATTTAAAAGTGATTTCTTGTGAAAAATGAATACTTCGGCCCCCATGTTATTTGCGTGTTCGAAATGTTTTGCACGGCATCCTTTCGAAGAACTATCCTCTGGTCAGCAGCTGTGCAAGGTAAGTTTCTACATGGACTTGTAGGTTATACGCTGATACATAATTTGACAGATCTTGTATTTTATTTACCTCATTTAATTCCTTGATGTGCGTATTGTTTTCACGTAGACTTTCAATCAATTTTAAAATTGTTCAAACATCAACTATCGAACATTGTATCGAAATATTATTACTGCAACTTTTTCCGCTCAGGAATGTCGTGGAGCATTTCCCGTGGTAAAATGCACATATTGTCGATCTGAATTTCAACAAACAACTAAGGGAAGCACAAGTACAATTTGTAAAAAGTGCGAGCAAAATGTTAAAGCCTTTGGCAAACCAACTGCTTGTGAATACTGTAATATAATTGCCGCGTTCATAGGCAATAAATGTCAGCGTTGCACCAATTCTGAAATTAAATATGGGCCTCCTGTCAACTGTGAACAGTGCAAACAGAAATGTGCATTTGATCGTCAAGACGACGATAAAAAGGTAATTATACGAAATTCAAATCAACCTTTCTGTTTGCACTATCAGATTTTTCTCATTTTAATTTTTAGGTTGATGGAAAGCTTTTGTGTTGGTTGTGCACGCTATCTTTTAAGCGTGCGCTCGCCAAAACTAAACAGGGTGACGCCGAACGCAGAGCGCACCTAAAAATGACTCAAATGAGGCAAGCCAAAGAAAAACACAAGGAGGGAAAGTGAGTTCGCTCGAGAAGACGTTTTGCTAAGTATTAAAATCGAATATTTTAGGCTGAGAGGACACAACAAGCGACCTCATAGATTGGATGTAACGAAAATTCCCGTCGCCGACAGCGATAATGGGCCTAGTAATAAGATAGCTAGAAATAATGCCGGGCCCGGTTTGGTTAGGGGGGAATTAGATCCGAATAGTTCGGATCATGTCGTCGCTATGACTCAGTTAAAAGAACAAATTGCCAGTTTACAGAAGCAACTGAGCAACAAAGACAGCCAGTTGCTTGGGAAAGATAAAATGGTTTGTGTGTTTTAAGTAGCTATCTTGATAGGTAGAGGTCATAGGTTGTTTGAAAGTTTCCTGTGGCCTGATAAAACTTAATGAAATTTGTTAGATGAACTGAGTAGGTCTTCGATGTGATTGTGAAATTAGCACATCTCATAGTTTATTTACTTGAAATAATCACAATCCATGAAACCAACTCGACAAGATACCTCATTCTTTGGAAACTCAATTTTTGTTACTAGTTCTTATTGCACCCAAAATAGTTGTAGATAGGTTCACTAAGTTTACTCAAAGAAGCATAAGTACAACAAAGCTTGTGCAGATACAGTACATTTTTTAAACGAAAATAGTGTGATATATTGTTCTGCACTCACACTACAACTAGAGGGAAATGTGGGCTAAGTTTCATGGAAATCTGTAGGAGCATAGAAAAGTTATTCATGTTTTACTTATTAAAATAACTTTTTGGTAAATACTTAATTGGAGGGGAGCTCTTTAGACAACATTTAACGACCCTCTGGCACACATTTAAACTACACTATTAAGGTGAGTTTCTTGGGGAGATTTATTTGTTCACAAAATTCTTCATGATCACGTCAATAAATATGTCTCCCCCATCCATTTTCAAAGATGTCTCGCAACATTGTGACGTTTGGCTTTTTGCCCAAAGAAATAAATAAAAAATCTCAGTATGTCAGAGGATTACAACCAAATTAGAATAGTAGCATCTGAAGAAATGATTCATGGGGACCCTTCAGACATTTCGAACGCCACACACCTTCGCAGTATAGACTTGCTGCAAAAATTTAGAGCTCTTGAAAACTGAAGAAGTGGGTTTGGGTAGATGGATAGATGGGCAAATAGTACCACAGTTTTTTTAATGGAAAAAAAATCATAGCAAATGCCCCAAAATTTAAACCTTCAAAGAGGTTCAAAATGCACCCACACCAGTTTCGTAATTCTACATAAATTTCTTATTTTTCATTTAGGCCCAACATAAAAACTTATAGAACATAACCTCAAACTGCACCCCATTCCAAAAATCAAGCTCTACCTATGTGCACTTCCTATTTTGAGCGCGATCACATAATCCATATGGGGTCAAACACTAAAACCAAAAATGACACTGACCTGCTCAAGGACAGGTCATATCCAGTGGTGTATTGGTCAATTACGGTAAGGGTAAGGGTACGCAGGTGTCGGTTTAACCGGAAGGGGGGTATGGAATGACTACTTGTCAGATGGAGGGGAGATGTGAGGGCCTCAATTTTTGTAATTTTTTAGAAAAAAGCGTTTTGATCGATGTTTTGCCACCAAGATGTTATATTGAAGGGTGGGGTGCTAGAAACTGCCTGGGAACTCTTGCAGTCTCCTTAGGATTTTGAAAACTGGTTACCCAGAAGTTACAGTAGCAGCAAAAGCACTATCTAAAGTAAAGAATTATCAGTACAAGATTTTCAGCAATGTTTTAAACTTTAAAGTTACGTATATGAACGTATATTTTTGTATCTAACAAATTGTCATTTCTATATACGCTAACTAAATTTTACTTTTAAACATATATGACGTATCCCGCGTAAAGCCCCCAATACAGCACTGGTTATAGCAATATAGGTGTCGCAAATTTGGTAGAAAGCCTCAAATGTATTTCTTTTCAAAGTAATCACCAGAAAATTGGTCAAAGGATGTCAAATTCTTCACTATTTACAAATCTCAATAGAAAAACCTAAGAGTACTATGCACCAATGGACATTTAATGTAAACTGGATGAAACATGTGTATTAGTGTATTTACCATCCACGAACTTATAAATTAAGATGGACTGCTACTGCTGAATTGACAAATGACACCTACATGGGGGCAGCCATGATGTGCGCTCACTGGGCGCGAATTTCAAATCAACTAATAAACAAGCATTAACCTCACGTTTTCTAAAGAAATTACTGTGACACATGTCATTTCCCCAGGCTGCAATAGTCTCAAAACTTGAGCACTAGGAAAATTCTAGAAAATAACGAAAATGTGCACATCATGGCGGCACCCATGCTAGGGCCATTTCTACCTCTATGCAACTGTTTGATCAGCAGTCCATCTTAATTTATAAGTTCGTGTTACCGTCTGTGGGAAAAATTCTTAATCCCAAGAGACTGATGTCGACAAAGTTTGGCGCAATTTGGTAAGAGCATTCAAAAGTTGTCGCTTCATTTTTTAAACACTAGTCGACCTAGCGAACTTAGTACTGCCTATCTGACAATGTCCAGATGCCAGATGGGCCATAAACTCGGTTCGCCGCCTCACCTCGCAATATTATTGAATTGAAAACCTTCGCGGCTATACGTCCAATTATTCTCCAAAGTTTCATCTCAATTGATTGAACGGCTTAGGTAGGCATAAGAGACATATAAACAAACATTCCATTTTAAACCAGCTTGTCTATAAGTAATGAATTGCGGGAGGGGCTCCCTTTAGACACACATTTGGAGGCTGTCTACACAACCTTCAAATTATATGCTATTTAATGCAAGTGAAATTCTTTGCAACATGGTTCATACCGATGGGCGTAAACGTGATTTAACACACTCGTCCAAATGGTTCATGTTCTCTTTGCGACGTTTCAATCGCCATTCATGAAGTAGGTATAAAATCAGTTTTTGACATCCTATTGCAAAAAAATTTAGGTCGCGGAAGTGGAGAAGCGGATGCACGGACGGACAAAACACAAATAATAGCACTTTGTTTTCAAGTTTTAAAAAATACGCTAAAAGTTCCTCAAGTTCACCCTAATCACTAAGGTTTTAGGTACATCTCCACTAGTTCTGTAATTCTAAAATTCAGACTTATTTTTTATTAGAGGGCGGAGGGGGGGGGGCATTTCTAGAATTATTTTGAAGAATAGGTAATAAAGAATGTTTGGAAGGTATATTAATGCATAGAGTGTAGTGTGTAAACCAAAATCTATTCTTCCACTTAATCCCTAGCATAAATCTGTGAAGTATTTTTTTATGTTCCTTAGTAGATACTGTCTTTACTTATCTGACATGGAAACGAGACTACTATCAATGCAGATTGCAATGCTTCAGGGTTACAAAAATTCAGTACAAAAAAACTATTTCAGTTACGTAAATAAAATAAGTATGTATGGGGTGATTCAGGTACTGGTTTTTTTAACAACCATAATTGTTCAATATGTGTTCCATTGATGACACAGAACATATCAACTGTATATGAATAAGTTTATACTCGAGTTTATATAAAGTGGTAATGTGTTGCGGAATTTCAAGTAGACCTCTATGTCTTAAGTGTGAATGATGTACAGGGTGTCCCATTTTCAACATTTTTATAGGGTATCCCCATAATTGTTAATACTATCAAAAAAATGATATAGACATCATGTGCTCTCTTTGCATTAAATTTAACCTCAAAATTTGACATATTCGCTCGGAACGAGAAAATAAAAAAATTGTCAATTTCATAATGAAAAATACAGAAATTACAAAAGTTTCTTTATAATGATTGTTGAATAATCTGCCGCTTTCAAAATAAGTATATGGGACAGATTAAATGTTATTGAGTCCCCATTTTTTTTTAAATTTAACACCCCGTATATTTTAATCTGAAAAGATATCATTACATTCCTTTTTCAAAAATATAACAAAGTTCAAATGATGTAAGAAAGATTCAAGTGATTAAAAAAAAATTAAAAATTCCAAAAAATTTGTTTCAGAAATATATTTGAATTGTTTTAATTTTGTTAAAATCTTTGACATAACATTTTTTAATGTTATATAATTTGACATTTGTTAATTTAAACTTTGACAGTCTCAAATCATGTCTCATCGGACAGACTTGTTTACCATGAAATTCAGATACCCTTCTGATTCTGGGATATACATTTTGTTGGCATTTTTTGCAAAATTGTTAAGGGTATACCTAAACACATTGGAAAATGTGTTAGTTTCATCTTTGTATTGTGGTTTTTGAGAAATGACTGGAAAAAAATGCAAATCAATCTTGGAACTTTTGGGAATGTATCTTTCAAGAGAAAAACTTTGTAAAATCACAAATTCAGTGGACCACCCTTTCCGAGATTTTACCCAATGTTCATTCCATTGATGTATCACAACCTATAGGTATTTTTTTTAATTTTAGCCATGAGCCAAACAAAATACTTATATTTTACCTCATATTTTACGGTTTTTAAATAGCATGCCATGGATTCATAGAAATTTTGTTTTGTTTATTGACACCAGACAATAAAAATGGCTGACGGTAGAACATGTAATTTCAAAAATTCGAAAAATATGATACATAATATACAGGGTGTTTCGAAATTCGCACGCACGGACTGTGGGATGGTGTTATACAACGAAAACTGAATAAAAAGTTCCTCTACCAGTTTTTGATCAGACCGGCACTTTTTTTTTTGACGTGCTGAAGCTTGTTTACTAGCAGACGGCGTACATTTTGAACAACTGTTGTAATTACGTACTCGTCATAATTATAGTTTATTTTGAACCTTCTTTTGTTTTTAAAAATGTGTTATTATAATAATAATATTTAATAATAATAATATGTATTGTCACCAACAGATTTACCAATAAGGGACAATGTTAAGTTACAATGTACATTCACTAGCGGATAGAAAGAAATAAAACATACTTTAAACAAAATATGATATCAACCAAAAACAAAGATAATTGTAGTAGATTATTCGATAATAATAATAATTAAATGAACATAAACAGAAGCCTTAAAAATTAAACACTTTCATTGACGAGTTGTAAAATATTCTTTAAAGTAGTGTTAAAAAGGTCAACAGAGTTACAAATACTATTATAATAATAACACATCTCATAAATTGGGGAGTTGAACATAATATTTGTTCGATATTTTGGCAACTTAAACACAGTCCCATGTATGAAGTTGAAGGGAGGCACAGAAAATCTTAGTACAGCTAGCAGCGATGAGCAGTAAATATTATTATGTACTAAGTTGTATAGGAAAGACATACTAATACGTTTTCTTCTAGTTTTAAGAGCCATCAAGTCAAATTTCCTTAGTAGTAGGTGTTGGGAATACCCTTGGTCGGGATAATAACCATTTATCGGAAAGTGTAGATATTTTAGAAATCGTCTTTGTACTTTTTCAATATCGTTTACATATTTTTGGTAAAAGGGGTTCCATATAATCGCTCCGTATTCTAATTTGGAATTAAGTTTAACCAGTGGCGCAGCGAAGGGGGGGCGGAGATTTTTAAAACCACAGTAGCTCAAGAATAGCGGTCTGATGGAAAACTTGTAGAGGAGCTTTTTGTTCAGTTTTTGTCGTATAACACCATCCCATAGTCCGTGTGCGCGAATTTCGAAACACCCTGTATAGCTATAGGTTCTGGTATACTTGCACCAATGTAATCAGGAAAAAGAAAGCAAAAAATTGACTACTGCTAACTATGGACCAAAAAATTTTTTGACTACCTACTCCACTCCATTATACGTAAATATATCTAAAATAGGCACTTCAAACTTTTTCTCTTACATGGGTAGTAAGATATGATAAGATCCCAAAATGGTCACCTTTTGGTTTTCACCCTGTATCTCAGAAATATAGTTAGATTGATTCTGTTTGTGATATTAAAACAATAAAACCTCCCAAAGTATACATCAACGACTTCATGAAACAGGAGCATTGAAGCGAAGTGGTAAATAATAAATTGTTATTGCCGAAATTCTTTTTCGCCCCGTATCTTCGAAACAAAGCGCCCTATCAAAAACGAGATCAAAAATCATCAAAGGACAAAATATCCTTAGAATAGTCCAAGGAATAGCCCCTTAAATTTTTGCCGCATGTTTTGAGAGAAGCATCTGCGGTTAAAGTTTCGTTGATCTTAATAAATGCAAAGTTGCAATGAGCTTGCGCAGAAGCGGAAACTTATTGGACACCTTTAAGTCGCTGTTCGTCGCTCTGTACGGACTGATTCAAATTCGAGTTCCACCATGGGGATCTCAGAAACTGTAAGCGATAGGTAGGTTTAAATTAGGCAAAGTTGCGTATTTGGATGCCTAACAAGATGGAGTTTTGAAAATTAAAAAAAGAAAATAGCTTCCATAAGAAAAAACATAATTGATGATGGTTAATCGGAGACGAAACCTCAGACTTAAAATTTAAAACTAGCATCTTGTAGAGGGAAAAAATCGCTATATTAATGTGTCATTTATTTTGAAATATTTTAAATAACTTTGGTAATAATAAAAACTATTTTGCAAAATTGCATATATTGCAGGATATACACATTTAAAGTGTATTTAACAGCTTCGGAGTAAATAAAATAAATTTAAGATCATTGTTCATGCCTATTAGTTTGTTGCTGTATAAGCGATATTTAATAGGATGTCGTGTAACGCAACTGCAAGGCCGCCGCCTTTCCATTACGATGACGCGGGTTTGAACCCCTGAGCGCGCGCCTTTTTTTTGCATAATAGATCGCGACAAAAAGAAGGGAACGAAAGATTGTAAGAGAGACAGAAGTCGGCCCTTATTAGTTGCCACTTTCAAATTATTTGTCTTTGGCCCGTCCTAAGTGTTAGAACCTGTTTAATAAGAAAAAAACGCAGTCTTCAATGAGATCTGCATCCTGAGATCTCAAACCCTTAGACGGACGGACGGGAATTCACCCAAGTATCAGATGCAAGATACTCTAAAAATATCTCCCTAAGTTAGAAAGGTGACATTGCGCAATGTACGAGTGCTCACATTAATCGCCAAGATTGATTTTTGGCTCTGGTGCTAGATCTATAAGCCAATACAATCCAAACTAAATACTTTGAAAACTAAGTATGGGAGTAGTTAGATATTTGGTCACAGAAAGTGACTGCAATAGCGCATCCAACCTCTGCAAATTACGCTAAGAACGTATTTGCCATCTTCGTAAGAATTTTTTTGATGGAGAGGGGTATAGTTTATTTAGAATTGTACATCTATTTTGGGTGCAAGTGAAACTAGAAAACAATATCAGTATGTAAGTTAAATTATGGAACTATGTATTGTAATTAGAACTGGCCACAAAAATTTAGTTTTGGAAAAATGAGGTGCTGTGTCTAATTGAACTGATTATTTTGAGTGAATACTAAGATCTTTTATTAAAATTCGTCTAGAGCTACACAACTACTACTTCACGGACCGGTTTTTCACTTGTTTCAATCATTAGCACACATTCAAGTTGGCATTGATTAAGTACATTATTTAGTGCAGATAAAAAGATAGTTTGCAGTGACTATGCTTGTAAAAAGTTGCTTTGCGATTACCCTCCTCATTTCCAGGCTGAAATACAACTACTGTAAATGAATTCCTAAATTCTATATAATCAGGCATGTTCACCACTTTGGAAAAGTTGGAGGCAAACGTAATGCATGCATGTACCTTCATGTTGCATTGACTTAGGATGCTGCGAGAGGTAGTGAGCGGTACTAAACAGATGGTCGGGGAACATTTACTTGACTAAAACTTCTTTCTATGGTTTTTATCAAGCACTGTGAACTTGTGGTGCTGGCAGAGAGACAGTTTAGTGCACAATTCGTTTGACTAAAAGTTGTTTGCACTTGTTTTTGGCTAGCCTAGCAAGACCTTGTCCAGTTTGTGGTCAGCAAGAGATACCATTAACTTCCCAAAATACATTTGAGCAAAGGTTACTGTTAGTACGCAGTACGTGAATGTGCAGATGCCCTTAGTGTGTATATGTGAAATTGCCAGTGATACGTTTAAGGTTTTGGCAGTTCGTTATACTGTTAACTAGTTTTTAGGTTTTACCGTGCTGTTCGCCTTATGCACCAAAACATCTTATAAGTTTTGAGTCCTATTTCTGTCGATGTTCTTAAGCTGTAAAGTTTAGGTCAGCCAAACCTGCTGCTGTCAGACTATAGATCACAACGATTATCTGTTCACCCAACAGATGCAGTTAAGCTCCTCCCAAAAAATTCCTGGCAAATTTAAATGAACATTTTTAATTGGCCGAATTTTCAAAACCTGTAGCACACACAACTATTTGCTTCCAATTATAATTGCCCAAGGATACTATATAATATAAGGATTGCTCGATCCCTATACTTGTAATGTTGCCCAAGTTTAAGTCATATGTGACGTCACCAACGGACCTGGCTGTCAGAATTGACAGTTATAATTTGTTGTGAACGTATTTGAATGGACGCCATTTTCTGTTAATTTCATTTATACGAACAAACAATCTTTTTGAACTAAATACACAATTTGAAACTATGTACTGCTGTGTGTTTAGAGGTCAATATTCAAAACAACAATTTATAACTTAGTCATACAATGTGACAAGCGATTTTAAATTTCCCGGTTTTTATAATTTTGTGACTGTGAAACGGGTCTGTTATTACATTGGCCAACATTTATTGGGAGTGGCTTAACTGCATCTGTTGGGTGAACAGATTATACCTGAATCAAAGCAAATAGGACTGGCACTCCTGTTTTGACTCACAAAACAAAAACTATACAGTACAAAAGTACGACCCTACTACCTAGTAATAGGGTTCGTTACGAAATCGCTATGACTTAAAAAGTGATTCATTCATCTAACAAAGTATGTGCTAGTCCTTATATAACATACGTATCACTTGATTTATCATTAACTCACAAGCGAAATTTTTTAGATAACAGAGTTAAAGGCGAAACATTTCACGACCGAGAACGAACTGAGAAATAAGATGAACGCCGCACAGAAACAGCACGACGATAAATGCCAGCAGTTGAATTCAAAAATCCAATCATTGCTGAAAGAGATTGCGAGTCTCTCGAAAATTAACAAACGCGATCGCCTATCAATCGCCAGAGAGAACGCCAACAGTGGTAGCGGTACCGATAGTCCCAGTACCCAATAAATCGAATTTGTCTAAATTTGTGTAAATACTATTCAATTTTTTTAGAATTATGTGAATTTTGATTATTGCGCACTCATAGTATTTATTTGGCTATTACATTAGGGTTTATGAGTCTGCGAAATTGACCGGTCTTCGTGGCACCAGCGATTAGATTTATTACTTTGGGTAGAGAAAGATGAAGAGGTTGCCAGGTGACTTGCGGTATCACTGTCATATGGTAATGGATGATCATATTTGATGGGATTCGAAGTTTTGCATCCATCACGAATGTGAACCATCACTGCATTGTACAAGGTAGTGAATACTATACTGATATCAAAATGCCACAAAAATTTTAATTGTGTTTTGTTTTAATTTTTATAAAATTTCTGAAGGAACTAGATTATTTCAGATCAAGGGTTATTATAAGCAAAAAAATGATTCTGTTAAAACAGTTATAAATATTGTTAACATAAAATTGGTCATAAAATTTTATGTAGGTAGTTACAAACATCTTCTAATTCCTATTGTGGGCTGTACAGTTTAATTACATAGTAGAACTAAGTTATCTTTGTGAAACTAACTTAATCGTTTTGTAAGGTAATTTATTTAATGTAACTAAAATTGTGTGATACACGGTTCTGATACGTGAACGTGGCATAATTTTATTTATCATATTTTAGTCAATTTATTTCGCCATTTCTTGGCAGCTCCAAGGTGTGGCAGGTAAAAGATGATTGTGTATAAAATTTATTTTTATAATTAAATTTCCATGTAATTATAAATTATCAAGAGTGGTTGAAATATAAAATAAATGCACACAAATTGTTTATTTTATTCTTTTTTTTCTCATTATGAACCTGTGAGTTTTGAACTATCTCACTATGCAGGGTTATTTTAGCTGAAACTGTATCATTACAATAGTAACCCTGTATAGTTTGATAAATCACCGCTAATTATACCATAAGACTTATTTTGATGAGAGACCTTTTCAAACACACTATGGCTTCATATGTACTAATGGGTTTAGCCATCTTTAGTATATCCAATGGGGCATTTTTGGCGTTAGTTAGAAAATATGCTTCTGCTCACAAGTCCCATGGGATTCTTTTCCTGGTCAATGGTTTGAATGAGATTTTGATGGATTTACCTATAGACCCTTGTATCAATTTGAGAGTGGCTTGCTTTCTGTCACACACAATACTTAATCTCAAATTTGTCACAAACTATAACAGTTATATCGTCAGTATATAGTTTTACACCCTGCTCTGTCTAGATCCTGCAACTGCAAGTCGTCCATAGAGACCGCAGTAGTGTGCATAATACTCCTCACTGCGGACATTCCCATAGGGTACGTTTACGGTTATGGAGATTTCTGTTTTCTAACATGCAGGCAATCCACTTGTAGACCGCCATGTGCATTCCTTTGTTTTGTACGTTTCTCATAATTGATTTTAGCGAAGTGTTTTCAAAAGCCACCGCGCCATTATCTAAGAAATCCCTTCATAATACAAGTACGTAAAATAAAAATTGGGTGGTAGTGAGGATCAAAACAAGCATTTTTTCCAAATAAACCGAGGGTCCAACGTGTTTCGTGTGTGAGCCACCCTCAAAAAAGTGGTGAAATTTGCATTTCTTCTGTAATTTTTTACCCAGCAACCATAAGTTACAAAGTCTGGTGGCATGTACGTCTTTGAATAGGTTTTGGGGTTTGCTCTTTCCGATATTCCAAAAAAAATTTCAAAATTCCTACCACGAAAGGGCGAACGCCTAAATGGGGGTGTGAAAGAAAATTCTTATTTCGACGAAATTCGGTAAGTACCTATCTGGGACTTTTCGAACATGACAATTACGAATTTATAACGAAATTAGTTTTTGAAAATTCGAAAAATAAAATTCCACTGCATTTATTGTCCGGACAACGAAAATGGAGAGAATTCCACGAAATTGTGTACATTTAGGAGCGCGTCCTTTCAACTTTGTAATTTTATTTTTTGTTATGGGCGCCATTTTGGATTTTGGCAGTTTGAAATGACGTCATTTTTCCTCTACATTTTACAAAGACTACTTTAGAAAAGGTTTTTTGTTGTGCACAAAAGTTTGACAGTTTGATCCATCTGTATGGTTGCGGCATTGGCATGGAAGTAGTTGTGTTGAGAAAATTCGATTTTCAACCGAACAGAATTAAACCTTGTAGTAGGGGAGCTAGCACGAAATCCACTGAACGAGAATGATCAAAATTTTAACCGATGCAGTTCCATTTTGCCCTATCAGAGTATGCTAAAATCGATCGTCTGCCGCCTCAGGTCATATGACTTAAGGCGCTACGGGTACTTCTTGCGGTACCAATTCTGAAAGATGGTTTTTCGAGAAAATAAGTTATACACCAAATGAAAACGTTGATAATAGCTCTTAAAAAAATATTTAAAAAAATCGCGCGCATTTGATAACTCCGTAAAAAAACAATTCTTAGTCGGTTTTTCACGAACTTTCTACGGATATAACTAGGTTACGGTTGGACGAATGAAGCTGATTTTTTTTACAGACTGATGATAGGTACTACTAATGACTTAACGGTGTTTCGTTTTTAAATTTTTTCTCTAATTATAAGATTGTCTTATTATCTTAACATTATAAGATATCTTATAATTAGAGAAAAAACTTAAAAAAGAAACACTGTCATAATCATTGGCTGTACCTATCATTAGTCTGTAAAAAAAATTAGCTTCATTCATCCAACGGTAACCTAGGTATATCCGTAGAAAGTTCGTGAAAAACCGACTAAGAATTGTTCTTTTACGGAGTTATCAAATGTTCGCGATTTTTTTAAATATTTTTTTAAGAGCTATTATCAACGTTTTCATTAGGTGTATAACTTATTTTTTCGAAAAACAACCTTTTAGAATTGGTACCACAAGAAGTACCCGCAGCGCCTTAAGTCGTATTACCTGAGGCGGCAGACGATCGATTTTAGCATACTCTGATAGGGCAAAATGGAACTCCATCGGTTAAAATTTTGATCATTCTCGTTCAGTGGATTTCGTGCTAGCTCCCCTACTGTTGGTTTTACTGTTTTGCTGGAAAATTATAATTCAAATGAGAACAAAATACATAAGAAAAAAACCGATACAACGAAAATCAAAGGATCCTCCCTATTACCGTATCTTCACTTTTTTAACGACCATTTATTTTAACCTTGCAAAATACATATAGTCAACAACAATTCATCAAATTCATGTCTTGGGCATTGAGGTGATGCTCTTAGTCTTTTTCCCAACGATCTTGGTGCACGAATGGCGATTTTGACCTACTTTGATCGAAATACATATGGTAGCAAAAAATTCATTAAATTCATGTCTTAATGGGCATTGCGATAATATACGAGTATTCTTGGTCTTTTTTCCAAAGATCTCGTTGCAAGAATAACAATTAAGTTTGATATGTTTTGAGTAAAATCTATGTGGTCGCCAAAAATGCATCTAATTCATGTCTTGGGCATCGAAATAATGCTTTTGTTTTATGTTCCAACGATCTTGGTGCATGAATAACTATTTTGACAATTTTATATCTTTGAATCAAACACACGCAGTTTTCAAATGTACTCTTTAGGCATCAAGAGAATGCGTTTGAAAGCTTTTACTCCAATTCAAATTCACGTGAAAAGAATAATTTTATTTGGGTACATTTTGCTCCAAAACTTGACCTAGATCCCAGATTTTTTATTTTATATTGAATTGTTAATACCTACTAATCTAGCGAAAGTCCGAACTCGATACATGTCCTAGGGAATGAGGATATTGAGCCTGTTCCCGAATCACTCGAAGTCCCATAACTTTTGACCCTGTTCTGAAAATCAATAGCCTCCTTGCTTAATGTTCAAAGTACCCGGTTGCCAAATTTCAACACACATCGTATTTGTGTTTTGTATGCAACATTTTATATTTTTTTGTGAGTTTCGATCTTTGTTTTTGAAGTTGACTTGAGTTAACCTCAATACAGAATCATGACGTGTTTGATACCGTTAACCTTTTGTTTGAAATCGTTTACATTTTTGGTGTAAATTTTGCTAAATTTGTTTGGGGTCTTGCTGCTTCGGGCATCATTTGGATGCTCTTGCAGTATTTCCCCAGGACTCGACCCTCTCTGCTCTCCTTATGAGTTTAGTGTACACTGTAAGTAAACTCGGTACGACATATATCCCACTCAGCTGTTTTTTTGCCATATTAAAAGCGTCCTAGTCTCCGCCCGTATCCGAGTGAGTCCTTGATGCCACAATGGCAATTCCTGTGTCTTTTCAGCGACTTCTAAAGCTGCTATTATGCGACTGTTCTATGTTCCCAACTTTTGATTTCCACAGGACTTTTTCTCTTCGAAGAACAGTTCCAAAATGTTTCCACCAGAAACACCTAGGCTTAAGTGTATAGCGTCCGGTTCGTTACACTCGGGATTTTGTCAATGAAGGTTGAACCACGGCCATTACTCATATTGGCTATTGTAGTCCTTAGATGCTAAGTGTTCTTATAGCAACTACACTGATTTTTGTATACCCACTACCCAGGGACCAATGCAACCTCTATCTCTCTTTGAATCGTAGGTATGCATTTATTGGGTAACGTAAATTAATCTGAACTATCTTGGCCATCGCTTACTTATTGCCTGCTACACCTAGGCTAGGCTGTGCGGAGCTAGACTCTGTTTGCTCTACTTCAATTTCGTCGCCCCTGTCCGCTTTATTGGCCTTCGGTTTCCCCTGGAAAAGTTCATTTGTAGGGAATGCTCATCTTTTGTTTCCAAGGCGGTCTCTTGATAATTGAATAATTGAGTAGTTGAGTCCCATTGTAACAAAAAATCATAGTATCTTTGTAACCAAAAAGAAATTCTATTGAAAAATCCGAAAATGCTAACAGCCATTGTAAGCTATTCCTCTACAACGAACGACGATGTGAAGAACACACCAGCTGCCCACCCAGATCTGAATAGATATTCAGATGTGGGTGATTCTGCCGCTAGATCCTCGAGCTCGCTCGATATTCAGACAGCCGCCTTGTACAGTCTTGGAAGTGGAATAATCTCCATTTCACTAGTTCGTCTTCCAAAATTATGTGATAATAATAATAATAATAATAATAATAATGTTTATTTCCACCAAAAAAAAAAACAGAAAAGGGAAAAAAATACATACAAAAATAGAAATAAGCAAAAGGTGGAAAAAGGACCACATTCAGTGAGTAAGCACTGCTCTTCCATGTGGCCTAAACACGTAGCAAGCGTAAACACCTAACACATATATATATATATATTATGTACATGACACGAAAATATGCAAATGCAAATGCACGACCC